GATAAGCAGGGAGGGAGAGATAAAAATTTCTCTCAGGCAAAGCCCACCTGTAATCCTAGCTCTCTGGGAGTCCAAGGTGGGAGGATTGCTCGAGGTCAGGAGTTCAAACCAGCTCGAGGAAGAGCAAGACCCCATCTCTACTACAAATAGAAAGAAATTTATTGGCCAAATAAACACACACACACACACACACACACACACACACACACCATGGACTACTACTCAGCCATCAAAAGAAATGAAATACTGTCTTTTGCAGGAACTTTGATGGAACTGGAGGCCATTATTCTAAGTGAAGTAACCCAGGAATCAAAAACCAAATACTACATGTTCTCACTTATAAGTGGGAGGTGGAGGTGTGAGATGAAAAATTACCTGTTGGATACAATGTATACTATTTAAATGACAGGTGCATTACAAACCTAGGCTTCTCCACTGCACAGTTCAGCCATGTAACAAAAACCACCTGTACCCCCAAATCTATTAAATAAAAAAGAAAATATTTTTTAAAAAACCACTTGCAGTTCCCTTGTTAAAGATAATCATGTAAAATGATGTTGGACTTTCCTTCCAATGATATCTTCATGGAAACATTGAATAAAACTAAGAAGTTTGGTAATTAAAAGAAAAAAAAGAACCATAGTTTCCTGTGTGTGTGTGTGTGTATGTGTATGTGTGTGTGTTTGTGTGTGTGTGTGAGAGAGAGAGAGAGAGAGAGAGAGAGAGAGAGAGAGAGAAGATTGGAAAAAATAGAAATTTCAAATAATGTCCACTTAGGTTTAAAAATATTTTAATTTTTCCATCAAGGAAAAATATTTAATTTCTATCATAGCACCATCCAAGACATGTTGTAGATGCTAAAAAGCTGGGATTTCTGTTTCTAGTTGATTTAAGAATTAGTAGGGAGTAAAGAAAAGGCAGTCCAAAGAATTAGAGATATATGGATAAATAATACTTGTATAATAAATAATACTTGCTCTTTCTTATATCATCTGATTCTTTTGATATCCTGTGAGGTAGGCAAGTGTCATTTGTCCACTTATATTAATAATAGGAAAACTAATGCTTGGAGAGCAACCTCCCTAGGTCGGGAGCTCCTAGACACGTACTCTAGAGCCAGAAAATTATTTATTTCCATAAATGCTATTGTCTTCTATTTGAAAAGTAACAGAATGACAGAGTCATTAGCATGTTAGCATGTTAAATGCTAACATTCATATGCCAAAATGTTTTTTCAACTTTACTATCTATGACAACTTTGCCACTTCCTAAGTAGGTTACCATGAATAAATTCTCTATGGCCTTCTGATTCATCACTTATCATAGTCTAGCTTACCTGGGTCTAGCTTATCTCTTAACGTCCATTCCAATTCTAAAAAATAAATCATAATAATATTAGTTGAATAAAATCATACAAGTAAAAACACTAATTCTAAATTTGAATTGGAAATACCATTATGAACTCTTGATGTTTTTCTTTTAAAAATACCTATTTCTAAGCTCCAATCCCTGAAAAATCCTAGAATGAGAATATGATCAATTATTCCTAGCACTCAAATTATGATCTCTAATACCGATTCTTTTGAAAGGAACCCAGGATAATCAGAGTACAGTAATGACTAATTTGATTTCTGGAGCAGGATATATACAAAATCAGTTTGTAACACTTGACATACTAGAAAGGCAAGGAAGCTACTGAAGACAACTAGGGACCTAGCAGAACTCAGGAGCTAACTTAAAAATTGGAATACAAGGGAAAGAACATGATACCATGCGAAGGTAACCAATGATAGTCAAAATGTGGCAGACTCTCTGGTATAGTTTCTTCAGCAAACAAATGCTAGGAAAAAGGAGGAAAAATTTATTTCGGTGACTTAAGAGACCTATCAATGAATTGCAAACTGTGGGCTTTATTTAAACAATAATTCTAATTAAAAAATCTTTTAAACATTCTGAGTTGAGCTATTTGGCTATATGATATTAGGAAGTTTTTTTCATGGTGATGATATTACTATTTTATTTGGAGATATATTTATAGATGAAAATTGATAATCATAGGGTATAGTTCAAAATACTCCAATATTCAGGGCTGGGGGAGGTTGTGAATAAAACACAATAGGCCATGAGTTAATAATTATTGCAACAGGATGATAGAAGCTTATTTTATTAAGTCTTCATTTAAAAGATTTCATAATAAAATGTTAAACTATTGGGGAGGTTTTGTGTCTGTGTCTTCGGTTATCTAGTAATCTGCTTCATTTTAGTACATTGCTATATTTTAAAACAATTTTTTTTAACAGGGTGCATATGGCCCATATTCTCCTGATGAGTGCATCTCTTTGCCTGTTTACACGAGTGCTGAAAGGGATCGTGTGGTAACCAATATCGATGTTCCATGTGGGGGCAACCAAGACCAGTGGATTCAGTGTGGAGCAGCTCTATTTCTAAAAAATCAGTAGAATCTCCTGACAACAAAGGCTGTCTTAGCAAAATGAGACATTATTTAAGATTTATACAAAATATGTGATCAGTCTACATTTGAAATGTTTGTTTAAAACATTAGCATATAATTACCCTCTGTTATTGTTCTTATTGGATTTTTAATGTATAACTATCTTTTAAATAACTAAATGGAGTTAATGTTCAAATGGAATATGCCTATGATAACATTAAATATTTCCGTAAGGAAGTTCACTTTTTCAGTGGCTCAAAAATTTGTTTTAGATAAGAGGTTTAAAATGGTGTATTAATAAATATTTTGACTATCATTTTTGCATCATAGTTATTTAATATAAGAGCATTAATAATTTTCTTAGCCTCCCATGATTTTAAATATAAACATTCTTTTTAAACATCGAAGACTATTTTATATAATTATAAATTACATAACTAATATCTTAAGGTAATAAGAGGACTAATTCAGACAAGACAATAATGGAAGCATAAATTCTGATTAAACATTCATCTTTTTTGCATTTTCTTATTCTTTATACAAGCTACTATTTCAGCTCTACAAGCATAGGCCATGAATGTGGAAATGACTAGTAGAAAATTAGCCTGAAAAGATAAATTGAATTATCAGGGCTTTGAATTCCACATAAAAATTAGACTTTTTTCTAAATACGCAATTAGAAAACAAATTTCAGAAAAGTGGTAGCATCCTAAAAGAATAACTTTAAGTATTAAATCTATTACATAGATTTAAAGTTTTAAATACTTCCCTTTTTAGTTTTTATGATTATCTTGTACCTTGGAGTTTATAAAATACGTAGCTTATCTCTTCATTTTCTAAATTCAAAGTCGATATTATTTCACAAATAAGGAAATTGAGTCCTAGAAATTACATGACTTGCCCAAGATTATCCAAACAATATTTTGTATTACTTACAGGTTAAGGTAAGCTAAACAACAGAAACAAACTGTCCCCCAAATTTCAGTATCTTAATATATACAAAGTTATGTCTTGCTCAAGTAATAGTTCGGAGTCGGTGTTTGGTTTCATGGGTCAGTTCTCCTCCACATAATCACAGGATCAGAGACTGATGTCAGTCCTGCCATCTTAAACATATCGCTTTCAAGGGGGTATTGACATCCCAGTCAGCCAGAAAGGGAAAAGCATGGAGGGATACATGTAGAAGGTTTTTGTGGACCATGTCTGTAAATGCCGCATATCATTGATGTTTATAGTCCAGGAGAGAACTTAATTACATGGCTATGCCTATTTCTAGGGTGGCTGGGAAATGTAGTCAACTGGGTACTCAAAGAAGGGCAGCGTGGAGGAGTTAGCTAACTCTCTGCCACATCGCCATCCAATGAAACATCTGAATCCATTACAGAAATGCATTCAGCACGATGGCATAAAATTACTTAACAGAATAAAGAAGCATAGGTCTTTAATTGCTCTTTTGACTCCAAACCTTGTGCTTGTGAATTTTAGTACTTATATTCAGCAAAATAAGCCAGATACTAGCCAAATTCCAAGAACACAAACACAAAAGTCCCTGCTCTTGAGAGATTTAAGAACTGATAAGACAGTGAAACATGTAAAAGTAGTCTCTTCATCCTAAATTATTTTATCTGATAATAATGTTGCTATAACAGCTTTTCTTTTTGGTTACTATATTTAATATTGGGGAAGCAATATATAAAAGAAAGTATGCAGAGAAAAACAATAACATTGGAATCATTATATGGCTCAGTAGCAAAGCCTGTGGGGTGCAGTGACTAATTCTACTTGCTGTGTGTTTAATTTAATCAAAGATTATCAACAGAATAACTTTTCCTTTTTTAAAACTTAACTTTGAAAATATAGGTTACAAAGGGTAACAGATACATTTATTTCCCTCCAAAAATGAACAAATATTAGCATGTTGTGGTATTTGCTATAGATTTTTAAAAGAAATTTCATATTTTTTAAATCACTTCAAAATCAGAGTTCTTCACATTCCCTTTTGCAGAACCATTTTCATCTCTTCCTCCTCACACTAATGTATTTGTATACACAGTCCATGTCTTTAATATGCCAAAATATATGACCAAAAACAAAAGGCGGAACTTTTTTGGATGAATGGGAGCCCTCAGGAGCCTCTCTAAAGCTTCAAAAGGACATATTATTCTAGATCCTCAGTTAGTAGCAACAAATAGTTTAGATCCCTAGGAACCACAGAATGACCTCAAACAAAATATAGCACAGCTGTGCATTTGGTAAATTCAGTGTGGTAATTGCCAAAACAAAAATCTTAGCAAACCAGGAATTAAAGGGAACTTGTCACAAATAATGGGATAGCCATGAAAAACCTATAGCAAAGATCACTCTTAATGGAGAAACAGAGCATTCACTTTAAAATGAACAAGACAAAGGTCATTACTTCTATCCAGCACTGTTTAGAGGTCCTAGCCACCACAGGATGACAGGAAAAAGGCAGAAGAATTGAAAAAGCAAAAATAAATGGCGAAAATATGTTCAGGGAGAAGAAAATATTAGCACTCACATACTTACTCCCATCAACCCCTCTGTTCATCTTTCAATTTTTTGTGACTTTTTCACATATTTTCATGTGAAAATAAAAATTTAAAGAACAGAAATAGAGGTTTAACTCCTTGTGTTACATGTTCAAGCAAGAATTCTCCATGTTTTGTTTTGTTTTTTTATTCTGAGCTTTCTGCTTTGATTTCTGAGAGAGATGTGGAGACCAATATAAGAAAACAAAAATGACAAAATTCACTCCCATCACTTGGGGCAGCTTCTTCCATTTTACTTCTATTTACTCATTTCCATTTTGTCAAACGGGGCAGCACTTCTTACATGGAAACCAGGCATTAACCAGCCTCTCTCTCCCAAACACGTGCACCTTACGGGTGGTCATGGAGAGCTGCAAGTGTTTGAGGAAGTACCACTAGTAGATCGTTCATCCTTTAGACAATTGTGGAGCTCTCCCCAAAATGAGTTTACCCTTCATTAATTGGTGGAAATTCCCAGAAGGATAACCACTTCATCATTTATGTGCCGCTTGTGGGCAGCTTCCTCAATAACAGGGGTCATCCAGTTAAAAAGGGTGGTAGGAAATTTGTTCTTGACTTCAGCTGAAGTGATCAATGAGACCAGCTCAGCCTGGAAGGCATTCAGGTCAGCCACAGCTCGTTGTCCATGATTGTTATGCTATCTTTGTGTCTCTGTGATAAATTCGATTTGGTTTTCATATGATAATTTAAAAAGAAAATGCTTATAATAAAATTTTAGTGAGAAAAGATATAAAATGTTTTATATAATGTAATCTAATATGTGTAAATATATGTATATTACATATATCTCAAATTCAAAAGTAAGCCTTTAAAATATTGAATGGTGGTTATTTCTAGGTAGAGACATAGATAATTTTTGTTTTACTGTGGGTATGGTTTCACATTTTTCAAATGTTTTGATGAACATATATTGCTTTCATAATCCAAACACTAGTTTTTAAAAATTGAAGTGTAAACTTAAACAGATGAAAACATAAACTTAAAAAACAGAGTACAAAGTTAGCTTTTCACATTTTGAGACAATTCCCTTCGGAGTTTATTTGCAAGCTTTCTAATGTATGTGTAGTATGGGTTACTATTGCAAAAATTAATTGAACTTTTTAAACCTCAAGTAAGGGTTCATTAGCATTTACAAATAACAGGTAGTTGATAAAAATATTTTAGATCAAAACCAAACATGATATTTCTACTTTGGCCTACAGCTACAATCAGAAATGTAGGCAGTTTGAAAGTTCAATATCTATAATAGTGAGAAGAGTGGCGAGTCAACTTTTGCCTGGTAGCAAGGGCCCTGGGCTTGAAGTTAGGCCATCCAGTTGCCAGTCTTAGACTGGCCGTATTACTTTTGCTAAGATATCTGGTCCTTCTGAGCTTAATTCTCTCCATCTATAAAATGGATTATAATTCCCATTTCAAAGTGTGATTTGAAGATCAAATGAAATGCCATAGGACAACATTATATCGACTAGCATAATTTAAATTTTAGATATTGTGAAATCATCATCTTGGGACTGGATGTGAATTTAAATATTAAGATTTAAAGAAATCATGTCATAGTTTTAGTAAAAATTATTTAGAAATAAAACTTTAAGATGAGATTTAATTATAATCTCAAATCTTACATTATCTGGTTTATTTATAATTATGTTTCTAATGTTAAAGGTCCTCTTTGTTCACACAAGATAAATTATAATTTAATCAAATGGTTGCCATTTGCAGAATTTTGTTGAAAACCATTAGACCATACGTGACCAATAACAACAACTAAGGCTTATGTAGCACTTACTACATGCTACTCCAAGTAGATAGATACACATATATCATCACACACTTGATTATATCCATTTTACTGATAAGAAAACTGAGACACAGGTTAAGTACTTGCTCAGCTAATAAATTAGTAAAGTGACAAGAAAGAAAACTCTTGCTCTTGCAGCCCTCACCCTCAGCCCCAGAAAAGAACAAAGCCAGCAAAGCTGAATTCTCTAGAATATATCTTGGAACTGAATATCTTAAAAGAATAAGACCTGTCTCTACTAAAAATAGAAAAATTAGCAGGGTGTCATGGTATGCTCCTGTAGTCCCAGCTACTCAAGAGGCTGACGCAGGAGGATCGCTTGAGCCCTCGAGTTTGAGGTTGCTCTGAGCTATGATGACACCACTGAACTCTGCCCGGGGTGACAGAGTGAGACTATGTCTCAAAAAAAAAAAAGAGAGAGAGAGAAAGAGAATGAGTAGGGATATTCAGAACCATGTGTTAATTCTTCATCTGAACAAATATTTGCTACAGCAGAATTTCTGGCAAGAATATAAAATGAATAGACAGTGCCAGTCAAAATAGCTGTTACATTATATATATTCACTGGGAGAGACACCTCTGTAAAACTTAGAAAGAGGATATGGGAGGAGGGGACTGCTCTGAATTGTGAACCTAGCGCTCAGAGCTGTCAACAAAAGCTTCCTTTACTGCCAAACACTGAGTGCTGTCTGCATGCACAGTACTGCTCTAGGGGCCTTGAAGGCTCACTTGTCTCATTCTTCACTGTATAAAAGGAATGATGAAATCAAGACCATTATTTTTAGTTTTCTTATAAAGAACACTGTAAAATACTTCAAACAGATATAAGCAGTGTATATATAAAGTATAAAGATTAATAGAATGAACACTTGTACCTAGTATGCAGCTTAAGAAAGAGAACTTCACCCACACCACTTAAACTGCCTGATGTATTTTCAATATCTCATTTCCTATCCTCCATCCGCAGACAACCAACCACTACCCTGATTTG